ACTGACCAACCCACGGTATTTAATATCCCACCCACGAGGAATATATGTGGCACAAGGCCGAGTTTAAAGTGGGTTTCTTCGAGTTTTCAACACTGACAACTCCTGAGGCTAAGCCATCCTCAAATGTAATCCTATTTATTCCTTTCAGTCTTGTTGGTATGGCTGAGAAGAAGCCATGTAGTCTGGGTAGCATATGGCTTCTGTATACCATTTACCCAGGACTGGTCACTCTTGTTTCATTACCAAAGGACTGAATTTTGACCAAAAAAGATAACTAGTGTTAACTCTGTCAATGCCTCCATTGGAGTATTGAGCAACAATCTCACCATGCTAGGTGTTGTTGGGTTGGTTTCTATAGCAAGTAGGTTTTTATGGAGTGGAGTTAATAGCCTGATGACTAACTAATTTTGAATTTTGAGTTGTCTGTTAAATCTTAGCTGGAGGAAGAAAATAGATTTATATCTTTCTGAGGGTACACAAAGTGAACACAATGGTTTCTCCAACAAAGGTGGGTACAGGTTCAAACTCTGCTGGAAAATGCATTTTCTTTATTAAGTCTCTTAGTACGTGTATTTAAAGAAACAAGGTATCTACTCAAACTTTGTTGCCCACAAAATAATGTTTGGAAATGCAGGAAATAATTTATTAGCTGGAATTTGGAATTCAACATGTCAGTCATATTTCTGTACTGAGTAACAATAGACACTATTCCATATACACTTCCCTATATGACTATTTCTGTACTGAGTAACAATAGACACTATTCCATATACACTTCCCGATATGACTATTTCTGTACTGAGTAACAATAGACACTATTCCATATACACTTCCCGATATGACTATTTCTGTACTAAGTAAAAATAAGACAATTTTTTTTTATTTTCAACATTAATTTCATTGAACAACATATTTACTGATTTGTTTCACTATTCAAGTTAGCTTAGGTCTACAACGGGTCACATGTAACCCAGTACAACTTGTCACATGCATGGGTGGTTGGCATCTAAATCAGCTCCCTCACTAGCTTTCCTGCTGGAGAGGATGGTGACACATCACCCCAGTCAGTCAGTTATGTGTGATACACGCTTAGGTGATCATGTATCTTTTGCTACATGACTGACGAGGCAGATTTTTTTCCCGCAGTAGGTTGCTATTTCTTTCTGCGGTAGACCAGTTTCCATCCAAGGCTATAGAACCTGGTCTGTCCTGCTATTTATCCATAAGCTGGGGGAAGAAGAGGATTCATACCTTTCCCAAGGGTATTAGCACATAAGTGAATGTAATAGATTCGACTGGAATTCAAACTCAGCTCTCCGATTCCTCAATCTGTGCTGATATCCATTACTCCATTGTGCCTCCTCAAGATCTGTGAAAGGATGGATAAGCTTCTTATAGGATCCAACAGCTAAAATATATGAGGCTGGTATGTGGTTGCAAGCCTTGAACAACTTTCCTAGAGATGGTGTCTCGCTAAAAATGCTCAGTTATACTTGGACTACAATGAGTATCTGAGTTGAGGAGCATCTGGTCTTGTAAAACCTTGCCTCAAATCATTAACATAAATCCTTTGTCAGGCAGGATCCACTTTGCTTTGTGTGCAATTAAATCTAGTCCTGCTTCAATAAAAAAAAACATGGCTATGTATATATGTATCATCTGTTATATTTCAGAAATTTTATTTTTCTGAACAAAATCTACTTTAGATGGCTTTTGAAGACTTGCAGTGGATTCACTAATTCTGTCAAGTCTAGAATAAATGCTAATCTGCAGGTATAAAATATGATAAATATGGTGGACGAGTGAAAAATCATAGGCTAAATTGTAACAATTTTCATTTGGTAAACAAATATTCTTGCTTGCTTGTTTGTTTGTTTAACTGCATATCAACATCCTTAAGGGTCATTTAATGCCAAAATTTGAATTTTCTTGGGAGCATTAGTAATTTTTTTTACAAAAATATATTACTGGTAATTTTTTTGTTTTCTTTTTACAAAAATGTATTGGTGGTAATTCTTTTACTATGAAAATCCATTGCTGGTATTTTCACTATAAAAAGGTATCTTTATACTTTCATAGTGTTTGATTCCAGTTTGGGGGTTAACTATTTTCCCATAGGTCAGATCCTAACAGGTGTTACCACCCAAGGTCAGAGTAGGGTTGGGAACAACAGAAATTAAGAAGTGGTTCCACACTCCTCAAAACCTCCAATATCTCAATCATAGGCCTTGCTGCCAGATGTAGTTTATCGTCATACCCAGGACACAACAAATATGCAAACCAATGTTATCCTGATGAAATATTATACACTTTCTTTTAACTAATTCTGGATGCTTTTCATTGATTTGGTTTGAGAGCAGCATTTGATCAAAGCAATCTCTTAAAAGAGCTGATCATTGATTATTCACAGTATGTTATCTATGAATTGCACAAATCTTTTTGCAGTTCTAGTTACACTCTATTCTTTTTTTTTTACATCCTAGTTTCATTTCACTTTCCCTAAAATATGCTAAATATGTTACTTATTTTCTTCCATCTTCAATATTAAAATCAATAAAGCAATTTTGACAAGTTTCTTTTAAATGCGTGTTAATATGACAGCTGTTACAATGCAATCAAATGTTTTTTAATTAAGTTAGTTAAAACTAAATGCAATACAAATGAAACAAACACAATATTACTTACTTTTTAGATAATTTTTATAACATATCTCAAGGAGTGAAAATTTACAGATAAAATAATTAAAAGGTAAATATGTAAATAAAAATTAAATTAATGTAAACATCAATGGTTATTAAATACTTTTAAAGATAAAGTTATTAGTAATATAAAACTACTAATAAAAACATTTTCAAAAGTTTTGTAATAGTGTATAGATCTTCATATGTTTGTATATATGAGAGCATACAAAAATACCTCGGTTTGAGTATATATCAATAGACATATACATGTTTTTTGTATATTTAACCATTACATGATCTCACTTTGAACTCATACAAATTCCAGTGATGTGAATGTTATATTGGATAGATCCCTGAGTGATTTGAATGTAATATTGGATAGAGCCATGAGTGATGTTATATTGGATAGAGCCCTGAGTGATGTGAATGTAATATTGGATAGAGCCCTGAGTGATGTGAATGTTATATTGGATAGAGCACTGAGTGATGTGAATGTTATATTGGATAGAGCCCTGAGTGATTTGAATGTAATATTGGATAGAGCCCTGAGTGATGTGAATGTTATATTGGATGAGGATTTGAATGTAATATTGATAGATCCCTGAGTGATGTGAATGTTATATTGATAGAGCCCTGGATAGAGCCCTGAGTGATTTGAATGTTATATTGGATAGAGCCCTGAGTGATGTGAATGTTATATTGGATAGAGCCCTGAGTGATTTGAATGTAATATTGGATGTAGTGCCCCTGAGGATGTGAATGTTATATTGGATAGAGCCCTGAGTGATTTGAATGTTATATTGGATGGGAGCCCTGAGTGATTTGAATGTTATATTGGATAGAGCCCTGAGTGATGTGAATGTAATATTGGATAGAGCCCTGGAGAATGTATATTGATAGATCCCTGATTTGAAATGTGTAATGTTATTGGATAGAGCCCTGAGTGATGTGAATGTTAATATTGATAGAGCCCTGAGTGATTTGAATGTAATATTGGATAGATCCCTGAGTGATGTGAATGTTATATTGATAGAGCCCTTGATAGAGCCTGAGTGATGTTGAATGTAATATTGGATAGAGCCCTGAGGATGATTTTAATGTAATATTGGATATAGAGCCCTGGTGATGTGAATGTAATAATTGATAGAGATGTGAATGTTATATTGATAGAGCCCTGATGATTGGAATGTTATATTGGATAGAGCCCTGAGGATGTGATTTTATATGTTATGTGATTATATTGATGATAGAGCCCTTGATAGAGCCCTTGAATGTAATATTGGATAGATCCCCAGTGATGTGAATGTTATATTGATAGAGCCTGAGTGATTTGAATGTTATATTGATAGAGCCCTGAGTGATGTGAATGTAATATTGATAGATCCCTGAGTGATGTGAATGTTATATTGGATAGAGCCCTGAGTGATTTGAATTTGAATATTGGATAGAGCCCTGAGTGATTTGAATGTAATATTGATAGAGCCCTGAGGATTTGAATGTTGATTGTGATTTGAGTCATGTTAATATTGATAGAGCCCTGAGTGATGTGAATGATGAGTGATGTAATATTGGATAGAGCCCTGAGTGATGTGAATGTTATATTGGATAGAGCCCTGAGTGATGTGAATGTTATATTGGATAGAGCCCTGAGTGATGTGAATGTTATATTGGATAGAGCCCTGAGTGATGTGAATGTTATATTGGATAGAGCCCTGAGTGATGTGAATGTAATATTGGATAGAGCCCTGAGTGATGAATGTAATGAATGTGATTTGAATATTGGATAGAGCCCTGACTGATTTGAATGTAATATTGATAGAGCCCTGAGTGATGTGAATGTTATATTGATAGAGCCCTGAGTGATGTGAATGTTATATTGGATAGAGCCCTGAGTGATGTTGAATGATAATATTGGATATAGAGCCCTGAGTGATTTGAATGTAATATTGATAGAGCCCTGAGTGATGTGAATGTAATATTGATAGAGCCCTGAGTGATGTTTGAATGTAATATTGATAGAGCCCTGAGTGATGTGGATGTTATGGATAGAGCCCTGAGTGATTTGAATGTAATATTGGATAGAGCCCTGAGTGATGTGAATGTAATATTGATAGAGCCCCTGAGTGATTTGTGAATATTGGATAGAGCCTGACCGATTTGATGTGAAGAGCCCTGAATGTAATATTGACAGAGCCCTGAGTGATTTGAATGTAATATTGATTTGAATGAGCCCTGAGTGATTTGAATGTAATATTGATAGAGCCCTGACTGATGTGAATGTAATATTGATAGAGCCCTTATTTGAATGATGATAGAGCCCTGAGTGATGAATGTAATATTGATAGAGCCCTGAGGATGGGAATGGATAGAGCCCTGACTGATTTGAATGTAATATTGATAGAGCCCTGACTGATTTGAATGTAATATTGATAGAGCCCTGAGTGATGTGAATGTAATATTGGATAGAGCCCTGAGTGATTTGAATGTAATATTGATAGAGCCCTGAGTGGAATGTAATATTGGATAGAGCCCTGAGTGATTTGAATGTAATATTGGATAGAGCCCTGAGTGATGTGAATGTAATATTGGATAGAGCCCTGAGTGATTTGAATGTAATATTGGATGGAGCCCTGAGTGATTTGAATGTAATGTTGGATGGGAGCCCTGATAGAGCCCTGATTTGAATGTAATATTGGATAGAGCCCTGAGTGATTGAATGTAATATTGATAGAGCCTGAGTTTGTAATATTGGATAGAGCCCTGAGTGATGTGAATGTAATATTGGATAGAGCCCTGAGTGATGTGAATGTAATATTGATAGAGCCCTGGATTTGAATGTGGATTGGATAGAGCCCTGAGTGATGTGAATGTAATATTGGATGGAGCCCTGAGTGATTTGAATGTAATATTGGATGGAGCCCTGAGTGATTTGAATGTAATATTGGATAGAGCCCTGACTGATTTGAATGTAATATTGATAGAGCCCTGAATGTAGATTGATATTGATAGAGCCCTGAGTGATGTGAATGTAATATTGGATAGAGCCCTGAGTGATTTGAATGTAATATAGAGCCCTGACTGATGTGAATGTAATATTGATGGAGCCCTGAGTGATGTGAATGTAATATTGGATAGAGCCCTGAGTGATTTGAATGTAATATTGGATAGAGCCCTGAGTGATGATGAATGTAATATTGGATGTGAATGCCCTGAGTGATTTAGAATGTAATATTGGATAGAGCCCCTGACTGATTGGATGGAGAGCCCTGAGGATGTTTGAATGTAGATATTGGATGGATAGAGCCCTGACTGATTTGAATGTAATATTGGATAGAGCCCTGACTGATGTGAATGTAATATTGATAGAGCCCTGAGTGATTTGAATGTAATATTGGATGAGCCCTGATGGATTTGAATGTAATATTGGATAGAGCCCTGACTGATTTGGAATGTAATATTGGATGGGGCCCTGATAGAGCCCTGATGTGAATGTAATATTGGATGGGAGCCCTGAGGATTGTAATATTGGATAGAGTGAGGATATGTAATATTGATAGAGCCTGATGGAATGTAATATTGGATAGAGCCCTGAGTGATGTGAATGTAATATTGATAGAGCCCTGAGTGATTTGAATGTAATACTTGGATGTACATTGATAGAGCCCTGAGTGATTTGAATGTAATATTGATAGAGCCCTGAATGATTTGAATGTGTATTGATAGAGCCCTGAGGATGGAATGGATAGAGCTGACTGATTTGAATGTAATATTGGATAGAGCCCTGACTGATGTGTGAATGAGCCCTATGATGGTATGGAGCCCTGAGTGATGTGAATGTAATATTGGATAGAGCCCTGAGTGATTTGAATGTAATATTGGATAGAGCCCTGAGTGATGTGAGTGAATGTAATATTGGATAGAGCCCTGAGTGATGTGAATGTAATATTGGATAGAGCCCTGACTGATTTGAATGTAATATTGATAGAGCCCTGATGTGAATGTGAATGTAATGTAATATGGATAGAGCCCTGAGTGATGTGAATGTAATATTGATAGAGCCCTGAGGATTTGAATGTGAAGCCCTGATGTGAATGTAATATTGATAGAGCCCTGTGGATGATAGAGCCCTGACTGATTTGAATGTAATATTGATAGAGCCCTGAGTGATGTGAATGTAATATTGGATGGAGCCCTGAGTGATGTGAATGTAATATTGATGGAGCCCTGACTGATGTGAATGAATGTATATTGGATAGAGCCCTGAGTGATGTGAATGAATGTAATAATTGGATAGAGCCCTGACTGATGTGAATGTAATATTGGATAGAGCCCTGACTGATTTGAATGTAATATTGATAGAGCCCTGAGTGATTTGAATGTAATAGAGCCTTGGATGGAGAGCCCTGAGTGATGTGAATGTTGGATAGAGCCCTGACTGATTTGAATGTAATGATAGAGCCCTGACTGATTTGAATGTAATATTGGATAGAGCCCTGACTGATGTGAATGTAATATTGGATAGAGCCCTGAGTGATGTGAATGTGTGGATAGAGCCCTGATGATTTGAATGTAATATTGGATAGAGCCCTGAATGTAATATTGATAGAGCCCCGACCGATTTGAATGTAATATTGGATAGAGCCCTGACTGATTTGAATGTAATATTGGATAGAGCCCTGAGTGATTTGAATGTAATATTGGATAGAGCCCTGACTGATTTGAATGTAATATTGGATGAGATTTGAATGTAATATTGATAGAGCCCTGATGATTTTGAATGTAATATTGGATAGAGCCCTGAGTGATGTGAATGTAATATTGGATGGAGAGCCCTGAGTGATTTGAATGTAATATTGATAGAGCCCTGACTGATTTGAATGTAATATTGATAGAGCCCTGACTGATTTGAATGTAATATTGATAGAGCCCTGAGTGATGTGAATGTAATATTGATAGAGCCCTGAGTGATGTGAATGTAATATTGATAGAGCCCTGACTGATGTGAATGTAATATTGGATAGAGCCCTGACTGATTTGAATGTAATATTGATAGAGCCTGACTGATTTGAATGTAATATTGATAGAGCCCTGACTGATTTGAATGTAATATTGATAGAGCCCTGAGTGATTTGAATGTATGGAGCCCTGACTATTTGAATGTAAGGACTTGGATAGAGCCCTGATTGAATGTTATAGAGCCCTGAGTGATGTGAATGTAATATAGAGCCCTGACTGATTTGAATGTAATATTGATAGAGCCCTGACTGAGTGAATGTAATATTGAATGAGTGATTTGAATGTTGAGCCCTGATGATTTGAATGTAATGATTGATAGAGCCCTGAATGAATGTATATTGGATAGAGCCTGAGTGATAGAGCCTGAATGATGTTGAATGTGACTGATTGGATATTGATAGAGCCCTGAGTGATTTGAATGTAATATTGATAGAGCCCTGACTGATTTGAATGTAATATTGGATGATTTGAATGCCCTGAGTGATGTGAATGTAATATTGATAGAGCCCTGAGTGATGTGAATGTAATATTGGATAGAGCCCTGACTGATGTGAATGTAATATTGATAGAGCCCTGAGGATGTGATTTGAATGTGATGTGTAATATTGATAGAGCCCTGACTGATTTGAATGTAATATTGGATAGAGCCCTGAGTGATGTGAATGTAATATTGGATAGAGCCCTGAGTGATGTGAATGTAATATTGATAGAGCCCTGAGTGATGTGAATGTAATATTGGATAGAGCCCTGAGTGATGTGAATGTATAGAGCCATGATGGAATGGGATAGAGCCCTGACTGATGTGAATGTAATATTGGATAGAGCCCTGACTGATGTGAATGTTATTGTGGATAGAGAGCCCTGAGTGATGTGAATGTAATATTGATAGAGCCATGAGTGATTTGAATGTAATATTGGATAGAGCCCTGACTGATTTGAATGTAATATTGATAGAGCCCTGAGTGATGTGAATGTAATATTGATAGAGCCCTGAGTGATGTGAATGTAATTGATGGATAATGAGCCCTGATGTGAATGATAGAGCCTGACTGATGAATGTAATATTGATAGAGCCCTGTGATTTGAATGTAATATTGATAGAGCCCTGACTGATTTGAATGTAATATTGGATAGAGCCCTGACTGATTTGAATGTATGAATGTGAATTAATATTGATAGAGCCCTGACTGATTTGAATGTAATATTGGATAGAGCCCTGACTGATTTGAATGTAATATTGATAGAGCCCTGAGTGATGTGAATGTAATATTGGATAGAGCCCTGATAGAGCCCTGATTTGTAATATTGATAGATATTGGATATTGATAGAGCCCTGACTGATTTGAATGTAATATTGGATAGAGCCCTGAGTGATGTGAATGTAGTTGATGACTAATATTGAATGATATTGATAGAGCCCTGAGTGATGTGAATGTAATATTGACAGAGCCCTGACTGATTTGAATGTAATTGATAGAGCCCTGATGTGAATGTAATATTGGATAGAGCCCTGACTGATTTGAATGTAATATTGGATGAGAGCCTGACTGATTTGAATGTAATATTGGATAATGTAATATTGATAGAGCCCTGACTGATTTGAATGTAATTGATAGAGCCCTGACTGATGGATAGAGATAGAGCCTGAGTGATGTGAATGTAATATTGGATAGAGCCCTGACTGATTTGAATGTAATATTGATAGAGCCCTGAGATTTGAATGTAATATTGGATAGAGCCCTGAGTGATTTGAATGTAATATTGGATAGAGCCCTGATTTGAATGTATTGATAGAGCCCTGACTGAATGTAATATTGGATAGAGCCCTGAGGATTTGAATGTAATATTGGATAGAGCCCTGAATGATTTGATGTAGATGATGTGATTTGAATAATAGAGCCCTGAGTGATGTGAATGTAATATTGATAGAGCCCTGACTGATGTGAATGTAATATTGGATAGAGCCCTGACTGATTTGAGCCCTGAGTGATGAATAATATGGATAGAGCCTGACTGATTTGAATGTAATATTGGATAGAGCCCTGACTGATTTGAATGTAATGTTGGAAGCCCTGAGGATGGAATGGGGGATAGAGCCCTGACTGATTTGAATGTAATGTAGAGCCCTGACTGATTTGAATGAATATTGAGAGCCCTGACTGATTTGAATGTAATATTGATGAAGCCCTGACTGATTTGAATGTAATAGAGCCCTGGATGTGGAATGTAATATTGATAGAGCCTGATTGATGTGAATGTAATATTGGATGAGCCTGACTGATTTGAATGTAATATTGGATAGAGCCCTGAGGATTTGAATGTAATATTGGATAGAGCCCTGACTGATTTGAATGACATGAGCCCTGATATTGAATGTAATATTGATAGAGCCCTGAGTGATGTGAATGTAATATTGATAGAGCCCTGACTGATTTGAATGTAATATTGATAGAGCCCTGAGTGATTTGAATGTAATATTGATAGAGCCCTGACTGATGTGAATGTAATATTGGATAGAGCCCTGACCGATTTGAATGTAATATTGATAGAGCCCTGAGTGATGTGAATGTAATATTGGATAGAGCCCTGACTGATTTGAATGTAATATTGGATAGAGCCCTGACTGATGTGAATGTAATATTGATAGAGCCCTGACTGATGTGAATGTAATATTGATAGAGCCCTGACCATTTGAATGTAATATTGATGACTGATTTGAATGTAATATTGATAGAGCCTGACTGATTTGAATGTAATATTGGATAGAGCCCTGACTGATGTGAATGTAATATTGATAGAGCCCTGAATGTGATTTGAATGTAATATTGATAGAGCCCTGACTGATTTGAATGTAATATTGATAGAGCCCTGACTGATGTGAATGTAATATTGATAGAGCCCTGACTGATTTGAAATGTAATATTGATAGAGCCCTGACTGATTTGAATGTAATATTGATAGAGCCCTGACTGATGTGAATGTAATATTGATAGAGCCCTGACTGATTTGAATGTAATATTGGATAGAGCCCTGACTGATGTGAATGTAATAGAGCCTTGATGTAATATTGATAGAGCCCTGAGTGATTTGAATGTAATATTGATAGAGCCCTGACCGATGTGAATGTAATATTGATAGAGCCCTGACTGATTTGAATGTAATATTGGATAGAGCCCTGAGGATGTGAATGTAATATTGATAGAGCCCTGACTGATGTGAATGTAATATTGGATAGAGCCCTGACTGATTTGAATGTAATATTGGATAGAGCCCTGAGTGATGTGGAATGTATATTGGATAGAGCCCTGACTGATGTGAATGTAATATTGATAGAGCCCTGACTGATTTGGAATGTAATATTGGATAGAGCCCTGACTGATGTGAATGTAATATTGGATAGAGCCCCTGACTGATTTGAATGTAATATTGGATAGAGCCCTGACTGATGTGGAATTAATATTGGATGTGAGTGATGTGAATGTAATATGGATAGAGCCCTGATTTGATTTGAGCCCTGTAATTTGAATTGGATGGATAAGCCCTGAGTGATGTGAATGTAATATTGATGAGCCCTGAGTGATTTGGTAATATTGATAGAGCCCTGACTGATTTGAATGTAATATTGATAGAGCCCTGAGTGATGTGAATGTAATAGAGCCCTGACTGATGTGGATAATATTGATAGAGCCCTGACTGATTTGAATGTAATTGATTGGATGTAATATTGATAGAGCCCTGACTGATTTGAATGTGTGTGTTGGATATTGAGGAGCCCTGGTGATGTGAATGTAATATTGGATAGAGCCCTGACTGATGTGAATGTAATATTGGATAGAGCCCTGACTGATGTGAATGTAATATTGGATAGAGCCCTGACTGTTGAATGTAATATTGGATAGAGCCCCTGAGTGATGGGAATGTAATATTGATAGAGCCTGAGTGATGTGAATGTAATATTGATAGAGCCTGACTGATTTGAATGTAATATTGGATAGAGCCCTGAGGATGAATGTAATGATAGAGCCCTGACTGATTTGGAATGATAATGAGCCCTGACTGATGTGAATGTAATATTGATAGAGCCCTGACTGATTTGAATGTAATATTGATAGAGCCCTGATGTGAATGTAATATTGATAGAGCCCTGAGGATTGAATGTAATATTGATAGAGCCCTGACTGATTTGAATGTAATATTGATAGAGCCCTGACTGATGAATGTAATATTGATAGAGCCCTGACTGATGTGAATGTAATATTGGATAGAGCCCTGACTGATTTGAATGTAATATTGGATAGAGCCCTGATGTGAATGTGATGTGAATGTAATATTGGATAGAGCCCTGAGTGATGAATGTAATATAATAGAGCCCTGACTGATTTGAATGTAATATTGATAGAGCCCTGACTGATTTGAAAATGTAATGTAATATTGATAGAGCCCTGATGTGTTTGAATGAATATTTGAGCCCTGAGTGATGTGAATGTAATATTGATGAGAGCCCTGACTGATTTGAATGTAATATTGATAGAGCCCTGACTGATGTGAATGTAATTGACAGAGCCCTGACTGATGAATGTAATATTGATAGAGCCCTGACTGATTTGAATGTAATATTGATAGAGCCCTGGATGTGGAATGTGACAGAGCCCTGTGAATGTAATATTGATAGAGCCCTGACCGATGTGAATGTAATATTGGATAGAGCCCTGAGTGATGTGAATGTAATATTGATAGAGCCCTGACTGATTTGAATGTAATATTGATAGAGCCCTGAGACGATGTGAATGTAATGATAGAGCCTGACTGATGAATGTAATATTGATAGAGCCCCTGACTGGCAATGAGTGATGTGAATGTAATATTGATAGAGCCCTGAGTGATGTGAATGTAATATTGATAGATAATGAGCCCTGACTGATGTGAATGTAATATTGATAGAGCCTGAGTGATTTGAATGTAATATTGATAGAGCCCTGAGTGATGTGAATGTAATATTGGATAGAGCCGTGACTGATTTGAATGTAATGATAGAGCCGGATGTAATGTATTGGATAGAGCCCTGAGTGATTTGAATGTAATATTGATAGAGCCCTGACTGATGTGAATGTAATATTAGAGCCCTGATATTTGAGCCTGAGTGATGTGAATGTAATATTGATAGAGCCCTGACTGATTTGAAATGTACATTGATAGAGCCCTGAGTGATTTGAATGTAATATTGATAGAGCCCTGAGGATGTGAAATGTAATGGATAGAGCCCTGACCGACGGAATGTAATGTGAGCCATGAGTGATGAATGTACATTGATAGAGCCCTGAGGATGTGAATGTAATATTGATAGAGCCCTGACTGATTTGAATGTAATATTGATAGAGCCCTGAGTGATGTGAATGTAATATTGATAGAGCCAAGATGGAATGTAATATTGATAGAGCCCTGACTGATTTGAATGTAATATTGATAGAGAGCCCCTGACTGATTTGAATGTAATATTGATAGAGCCCTGAGTGATTTGAATGTAATGATAGAGCCCTGAGTGATGTGAATGTAATTGATAGAGCCCTGACTGATTTGAATGTAATATTGATAGAGCCCTGAGTGATGTGAATGTAATATTGATAGAGCCCTGAGTGATGAATGTAATGTTGATAGAGCCCTGACTGATGTGAATGTAATATTGATAGAGCCCTGACTGATTTGAATGTAATATTGATAGAGCCCTGAGTGATTTGAATGTAATATTGGATAGAGCCCATGAGTGATGTGAATGTAATATTGGATAGAGCCCTGACTGATGTGAATGTAATATTGGATGAGGATGTGAATGTAATATTGATAGAGCCATGAGTGATTTGAATGTAATATTGATAGAGCCCTGAGTGATGTGGATTTGATAGAGCCCTGACTGATGAATATTGATAGAGCCTGAGTGATGTGAATGTAATATTGGATAGAGCCCTGAGTGATTTGAATGTAATATTGATGGATAGAGCCCTGAGTGATGTGAATGTAATATTGATAGAGAATGTGATGTGAATGTAATATTGGATAGAGCCCTGACCGATGTGAATGTAATATTGGATAGAGCCTGAGTGATGAATGTAATATTGGATAGAGCCTGAGGATGTGAATGTAATATTGAGAGAGCCCTGACTGATTTGAATGTACATGGATGGGGATAGAGCCCTGACCGATGAATGTAATATTGAGAGCCCTTGAATGTAATATTGGATAGAGCCCTGAGTGATGTGAATGTAATATTGATAGAGCCCTGACTGATTTGAATGTAATATTGATAGAGCCCTGACTGATTTGAATGTAATTGACCCTGGATAGAGCCTGAGGATGTGAATGTAATATTGGATAGAGCCCTGACTGATTTGAATGTAATATTGGATGGAGGCCTGAGGTGATGTGAATGTAATATTGGATAGAGCCCTGACTGATGTGAATGTAATATTGGATAGAGCCCTGACTGATTTGAATGTAATATTGGATAGAGCCCTGAGTGATGTGAATGTAATATTGATAGAGCCCTGACTGATTTAAATTGATAGAGCCCTTGATAGAATGCCCTATTGATAGAGCCCTGAGTTTGAATGTAATATTGGATAGAGCCCTGACTGATTTGAATGTAATATTGATAGAGCCCTGAGTGATGTGAATGTAATATTGGATAGAGCCTTTGAATGTACATGATAGAGTCCCTGAATGTAATGTATTGGATAGAGCCCTGACTGATTTGAATGTAATATTGGATAGAGCCCTGACTGATTTGAATGATGTAGAGCCATGATGTAATATTGGATAGAGCCCTGACTGATGTGAATGTAAATGATAATGACTGATTGAAATGATGGATGAGAGAATGTAATATTGATTTGAATGTAATATTGGATAGAGCCCTGACTGATGTGAATGTAATATTGATAGAGCCTGACTGATGTGAATGTAATATTGATAGAGCCCGACCGATTTGAATGTAATATTGGATAGAGCCCTGAGATGTGAATGTAATATTGATAGAGCCCTGAGTGATGTGAATGTAATATTGGATAGAGCCCTGACTGATGGAATGTAATATTGGATAGAGCCCTGACTGATTTGGAATGTAATATTGATAGAGCCCTGAGTGATGAATGTAATATTGGAATACATTGATAGAGCCTGACTGATGTGAATGTAATATTGGATAGAGCCCTGACTGATTTGAATGTAATATTGGATAGAGCCCTGAGTGATGTGAATGTAATATTGGATAGAGCCCTGACTGATGTGAATGTAATATTGATAGAGCCCTGAGTGATGTGAATGTAATATTGATAGAGCCCTGGAGTGATTTGAATGTAATATTGATGGAGCCTGACGATGTGTAATATGGATAGAGCCCTGACTGATTTGAATGTAATATTGGATAGAGCCCTGATAGTGATGTGAATGTAATATTGGATAGAGCCCTGACTGATGTGAATGTAATGTGGATAGAGCCCTGAGTGATGTGGATGTAATGTTGATGGAGCCCTGAGTGATGTGAATGTAATATTGATAGAGCCCTGAGGATGTGAATGTAATATTGGATAGAGCCCTGAGGATTTGAATGTAATATTGATAGAGCCCTGACTGATTTGAATGTAATATTGGATAGAGCCCTGACTGATGTGAATGTAATATTGATAGAGCCCTGAGTGATGTGAATGTAATATTGATAGAGCCCTGACTGATGTGAATGTAATATTGATGGAGCCCCGACTGAGTGACTGTATTTGATAGAGCCCCTGACTGATGTGGAATGTAATATTGATAGATCCCTGAGGATGATGAATGTAATATTGATAGAGCCCTGAGTGATTTGAATGTAATATTGGATAGAGCCTGAGTGATGAATGTGTATTGATAGAGCCTGACTGATGTGAATGTAATATTGGATAGAGCCCTGAGTGATGTGAATGTAATATTGGATAGAGCCCTGAGGAAATGAAGAATGTAATATTGATGGAGCCCTGAGTGATTTGAATGTAATATTGATAGATGACTGATTGAATGGGCTATTGATAGAGCCCTGAGTGATTTGAATGTAAGAGCCCTGACTGATGGAGGACAGAGCCCTGAGTGATTTGAATGTAATATTGATAGAGCCCTGACTGATGGAATGTAATATTGGATAGAGCCCCTGAGATGTGAATGTAATATTGATAGAGCCCTGACTGATTGAATGATAGAGCCCCTGAGGATGTGAATGTAATATTGATAGAGCCCTGAGTGATGTGAATGTAATATTGATAGAGCCTGACTGTGATGTGAATGTAATATTGGATGAGAATGCCCTGAGTGATTTGAATGCAATATTGGATAGAGCCCTGGTGATGTGAATGTAATATTGATAGAGCCTGAGTGATGTGAATGTAATATTGATAGAGCCCTGAGGATGTGAATGATAGAGCCCTGAGGTGATGTGAATGTAACATGGATAGAGCCCTGACTGATGTGAATGTAATATTGATAGAGCCCTGAGGATGTGAATGTAATATTGATAGAGCCCTGGAGTGATTTGAATGTAATATTGATAGAGCCCTGAGTGATGTGGGAATGTAAATATTGGATAGAGCCCTGAGTGATGAATGGATGTGAATGTGTAATTTGATAGAGCCCTGAGTGATGTGATGTTTTGAATGTAATATTGGATGATAGAGCCTGAGTGATGTGAATGTAATATTGATAGATAGAGCCCTGACTGATGTGAATGTAATATTGGATGAGAGCCCTGAGGATGTGAATGTAATATTGATAGAGCCCTGAGTGATGTGAATGACTGATGTGAATGTATTGATGGGGCCCCGAGTGATGTGAATGTAATATTGATAGAGCCCTGGTGATGTGAATGTAATATTGATAGAGCCCTGACTGATGAAAATGTACATTGATAGAGCCCTGATTGGATGATAGAGCCCTGACCGATGTGAATGTAATATTGGATAGAGCCCTGAGTGATTTGGATGTAATATTGGATAGAGCCTGACTGATTTGAATGTAATATTGATAGAGCCCTGAGTGAGATGTGAATGTAATATTGATAGAGCCCTGAGTGATGTGAAGAGCCCTGTGATTGGATAGAGCCCTGAGGATGAATGTAATATTGATGGAGCCCTGACTGATTTGAATGTACATGGATAGAGCCCTGATGATGTGAATGTAATATTGATAGAGCCCTGAGTGATGTGAATGTAATATTGGATAGAGCCCTGATGTGAATGTATTGATAGAGCCTGTAATTTGATTGGATAGAGCCCTGAGTGATGTGAATGTAATATTGGAGCCCTGAGGATGAATGCCCTAGATAGAGCCCTGACTGTAATGATTTGATAGAGCCCTGAGTGATGTGAATGTAATATTGATAGAGCCTGAGTGATGAATGTAATATGGATAGAGCCCTGAGTGAATGAATGATTTGAATGTGAGATGAATGAATATTGATAGAGCCGAGTGATTTGAATGTAATATTGATAGAGCCCTGAGTGATTTGAATGTAATATTGGATAGAGCCCTGAGTGATTTGAATGTAATATTGGATAGAGCCCTGAGGATGTGAATGTAATATTGATAGAGCCCTGAGTGATGTGAATGGCCTAGAGCCCTGAGTGATGTGAATGTAATATTGATAGAGCCCTGAGTGATGTGAATGTAATATTGATAGAGCCCTGAGTGATGTGAATGTAATATTGATAGAGCCCTGAGGATGTGTAATATTGATAGAGCCCTGAATGTGAATGGGCTGATGAGCCCTGAGGATTTGAATGTAATATTGGATAGAGCCCCTGAGGATGTGAATGTAATATTGATAGAGCCTGAGTGATGTGAATGTAATATTGATAGAGCCTGACTGATGAATGTAATATTGATAGAGCCCTGACTGATGTGGAATGTAATATTGATAGAGCCTCTGAGTGATGTGAATGTAATATTGGATGGAGCCCTGAGTGATGTGAATGTAATATTGATGGAGCCCTGAGTGATGTAAATGATAGAGCTATTGGATGGAATGCCCTGGATAGAGATGTGAATGTAATATTGGATAGAGCCCTGACTGATGTGGATGTAATATTGGATAGAGCCCTGAGTGATGTGAATGTAATATTGGATAGAGCCCTGACTGATTTGAATGTAATATTGGATAGAGCCCTGAGTGATGTGAATGTAATATTGGATAGAGCCATGAGTGATGTGAATGTAATATTGATGGAGCCCTGACTGATGTGAATGTACATTGGATGAGCCCTGACTGATGTGGATGTAATATGGATGAGGCCTGAGTGATGTGAATGTTATATTGGATAGAGCCCTGACTGATTTGAATGTAATATTGATAGAGCCCTGACTGATTTGAATGTAATATTGGATAGAGCCCTGAGTGATGTGAATGTAATATTGGATAGAGCCCTGAGTGAATGTAATAATGTAGAGCCCTGAGATGAGCCCTGACTGATTTGAATGTAATATTGATAGAGCCCTGAGTGATGTGAATGTAATATTGATAGAGCCCTGACTGATGTGAATGTATTATTGGATAGAGCCCTGAGTGATTTGAATGTAAGATTGATAGAGCCCTAGAGTGATGTGAATGTAATATTGATAGAGCCCTGACTGATTTGAATGTAATATTGATAGAGTACCTGATGAGTGATGTTTGAATGTATTGAGGTATTGGATGAGAGCCCTGAGGATTTGAATGTAATATTGATAGAGCCATGACTGATGGAAATGGGATAGAGATATTTGAATGATTTGAATGTAATATTGATAGAGCCCTGAGGTGATTTGAATGTACATTGATAGAGCCCTGAGTGATGTGAATGTAATATTGATAGAGCCCTGAGTGATTTGAATGTAATATTGATAGAGCCCTGAGGATGATTTGATAGAGCCTTAATTGATGCATGATGATAATGTAATATTGATAGAGCCCTGAGGATGTGGGAATGTAATATTGATAGAGCCCCTGAGGATGTGAATGTAATATTGATAGAGCCCTGACTGATTTGAATGTAATATTGATAGAGCCCTGAGTGATGAATGTAATATTGGATGAGCCCTGAGTGATGTGGAATGTAATATTGATAGAGCCCTGAGTGATTTGGAATGTGAATAATATTGATAGAGCCCTGACTGATTTGAATGTAATATTGGATAGAGCCTTGAGGATGAATTTAAATGTAGAGCCCTGAGGATATGTGGATAGAGCCCTGAGTGATGTGAATGTAATATTGGATAGAGCCTGACCGATTTGAATGTAATATTGATGGGAATGTCAGAGCCCTGAGTGATTTGAATGTAATATTGGATAGAGCCCTGAGGATGTGAATGTAATATTGATTTGATGTACTTGAGAGCCCTGACTGTATTGATAGAGCCTGAGGATGTGAATGTAATATTGGATAGAGCCTGAGTGATTTAGAATGTAATATTGATAGAGCCCTGAGTGATGTGAATGTAATATTGATAGAGCCTGACTGATTTGAATGTAATATTGATAGAGCCCTGAGGATTTGAATGTAATATTGATAGAGCCCTGAGTGATGTGAATGTAATATTGATGAATGCAATATTGAGCCCTGAGTGATGTGAATGTAATATTGGATAGAGCCTGAGGATGTGAATGTAATATTGATAGAGCCCTGACTGATTTGAATGTACATTGGATAGAGCCCTGGGAGTGATGTAGATGTAATATTGGATAGAGCCCTGACTGATGTGAATGTAATATTGATAGAGCCCTGAGTGATGTGAATGTAATATTGGATAGAGCCCTGAGTGATGTGAATGTAATATTGGATGAGAGCTGAATTATACGGAATGTAATATTGGATAGAGCCCTAGTGATGTTGAATGTAATATTGATAGAGCCCTGAGTGATGTGAATGTAATATTGATAGAGCCCTGACTGATTTGAATGTAATATTGATGGAGCCCTGAGTGATTTGGATGTAATATTGGATAGAGCCCTGAGTGATGTGAATGTAATATTGATGAAGCCCTGAGTGATGTGAATGTAATATTGGATGAGCCCTGAGTGATTTGAATGTAATATTGGATAGAGCCCTGAGTGATGTGAATGTAATATTGGATGGAGCCCTGACGGATGTGAATGTAATATTGGATAGAGCCCTGGAGGATGTGAATGTAATATTGATAGAGCCCTGACCGATGTGAATGTAATATTGGATAGAGCCCCTGAGGATGTGTGGATATGTAATGTATTGGATAGAGCCCTGAGTGATGAATGTAAATGATAAGCCCTGATTGGATGAAACCCTGAGTGATGTGAATGTAATATTGGATAGAGCCCTGAGTGATGTGAATGTAATATTGGATAGAGAGCCCTGAGTGATGTGAATGTAATATTGATAGAGCCCTGAGTGATGTGGAATGTAATATTGGATAGAGCCTGACTGATGTGAATGTAATATTGGATAGAGCCCTGAGTGATGTAGATGTAATATTGGATAGAGCCCTGAGTGATGTAGAATGTAATATTGGATAGAGCCCTGAGTGATGTGAATGTAATATTGATAGAGCCCTGGTGATGTGAATGTAATATTGATAGAGCCCTGACTGATGTGAATGTAATATTGGATAGAGCCCTGTGATGTGAATGTAATATTGGATGGAGCCCTGGTGATGTGAATGTAATATTGGATAGAGCCTGACTGATGTGAATGTAATATTGGATAGAGGCCCTGGTGATGTGAATGTAATATTGGATAGAGCCCTGAGTGATGTGAGATGTAATATTGGATGAGAGCCTGGTGATGTGAATGTAATATTGGATAGAGCCCTGGAGTGATGTGAATGTAATATTGGATGGGGCCCTGAGGTGATGTGGATGTGTATTGGATAGAGCCCTGGTGATGTATGTTATTGATGGATGTGATGTTGTAATATTGATAGAGCCCTGAGGTGATGGAATGTGTGTGGATAGGCCGTGGGGATGTGGATGTGTGTGGATGGAGCCCTGGTGATGTGAATGTACATTGGATGGAGCCATGGTACAGTGAATGTAATATTGGATAGAGGCCTGAGTGATGTGAATGTAATGGTGATAGAGCCCTGGTGATGTGAATGTGTAATATTGATAGAGCCCGTGGTGATGTGAATGTAATATTGATAGAGCCGTGAGTGATGTAGATGTAATATTGATAGAGCCCTGAGGATGGAATGTAATATTGGATGGAGCCACAAGGATGAATGTAATATGATAGATATTGAGGATGGGCCGTGGTATTGATGAGCCAGAGATGTGAATGCATATTGATAGAGCCATGAGTGAGGAATGTAATATTGGATGGGGAATGAGGATGTGGGAATGTAATATTGATAGAGCCTGAGTGATGTGATATGTGATGTGAATGTAATGGATAGAGCCCTGGTGATGTGAATGTAATATTGGATGAGAGCCCTGAGTGATGTGAATGTAATATTGGATAGATGCCCCTGGTGATGTGAATGTGGTATTGGGATGGAGCCGTGGTGATGTGAATGTAATATTGGATGGGGAGCCCTTGAATGTGATGTGGATGTGTATGTTGGATGGAGCCTAAGATGTGAATGTAATATTGGATGAGGCCGTGGATGTGAATGTAATATTGGATGGAGCCCTGAGTGATGTGAATGTAATATTGGATGGGCCCTGGTGATGGATGTATTATTGGATGGGAGCCCTGACTGATGTGAATGTAATATTGGATAGAGCCTGGGATGTGGAATGTAATTGTGGATGGGGAATGGTGGTGATGTGGAATGTTGGATAGACCGTGGTGATGTAATGTAATGTTGATGAAGCCCTGGTGATGTGAATGTTATATTGGATAGAGCCCTGAGTGATGTAGATGTTATATTGGATGGAGCCCTGAGTGATTTGAATGTAATATTGGATAGAGCCCTGAGTGATGTGAATGTAATGGATAGAGCCCTTAATGATGTGAATGTTATATTGGATGGAGCCCTGAGTGATGTGAATGTAATATTGGATGGAGCCTGAGTGGTTTGAATGTAATATTGGATGGGTCTGAGCCCTGACTGTTTGAATGTAATATTGGATAGGAGCCCTGGAGATGTGAATGTAATATATTGGATAGAGCCATGAGTGATGTGAATGTAATATTGGATAGAGCCAAGAGTGATTTGAATGTAATGTTGGATGGATTTGGATGTAATATTTGGATTGGATGATGAATTGGATTGATAGAGCCTGGAGGATTTGAATGTAATATTGGATGGAGCCCTGGAGGATGTGAATGTAATATTGGATAGAGCCCTGAGTGATTTGAATGTAATATTGGATGGAGCCTGACTGATGTGAATGTGTTGGATAGAGCCATGGTGATTTGAATGTAATATTGGATAGAGCCATGAGTGATGTGAATGTAATGTTGGATGGGCCCTGGACTGATGAATGAATGTATAGAGCCTGGGGCCCTGAATGATGCTATTGAATGTAATGTGAATGTGGATGGATAGTGCCCTGGCTGAGTTTGAATGTAATATTGGATAGAGCCCTGAGTGATGGAATGTAATATTGGATGAATCCCTGAGTGATGTGAATGTTATATTGGATGGATGGTAATATTGATAGAGATTTGAATGTAATATTGATAGAGCCCTGGTGATTTGGAATGTAATTGATATTGGATGGAGTCCCTGAGTGATGTGGTGTAATGTGGATAGAGCCCTGGTGGATGTGAATGTAATATTGGATGATCCCTGAGTGATGTGAATGTAATATTGGATGAGCCCTGAGTGAGTTTGAATGTAATATTGGATGGAGCCCTGAGTGATTTGAATGTAATATTGGATAGAGCCCTGAGTGATTTGAATGTAATATTGGATGGAGCCCTGGTGATGTGAATGTAATATTGATAGAGCCCTGAGGATGTGAATGTAATATTGATGAAGCCCTGGAGTGATGTGAATGTAATATTGGATAGAGCCATGAGTGATTTGAATGTAATATTGGATAGAGCCATATGAGTGATGTGAATGTAATATTGGATAGATCCCTGAGTGATTTAATGTAGTGATGAGAGCCCTGGAGGATTTGAATGTACATTGATAGAGCCCTGACTGATTGAATGTAATATTGGATAGAGCCCTGAGTGATGTGAATGTAATATTGGATAGAGCCCTGGAGTGATGTGGAATGTTATATTGATGGAGCCCTGAGTGATTTGAATGTAATATTGGATAGAGCCATGAGTGATGTGAATGGGTAATATTGATAGAGCCCTGGCTGATTTGAATGTAATATTGATGAGCCCTGAGTGATGTGAATGTTATATTGATAGAGCCCTGAGGACGTTGGAATGTACATGGATAGAGCCCTGAGTGATGTGAATGTAATATTGATAGAGCCCTGAGATTTGAATGTAATATTGATAGATCCCTGAGAATGATGAGAGCCTGGAGTGATGAATGTATTGGATGCCTCAAGGATTTGAATGTAATATTGGATAGAGCCACTAGTGATGTAGAATAACATTGATAGAGCCCTGAGTGATTTGAATGTAATATTGATAGATCCTGACTGATTTGAATGTAATATTGATAGAGCCCTGAGTGATTTGAATGTAATATTGATAGAGCCCTGGAGGATTTTGAATGTAATATTGATAGAGCCACGAGTGATTTGAATGTAATATTGATAGAGCCCTGAGTGATGAATGTTATATTGATAGAGCCATGAGTATGTGAATGTAATATTGATAGAGCCTGAGTGATGTGAATGTTATATTGATAGAGCCCTGAGTGATTTGAATGTAATATTGATAGAGCCCTGAGTGATTTGAATGTAAGACATAGAGCCCTGAGATGTGAATGTAATATTGATAGAGCCCTGAGTGATTTAGCCGTAATATTGATAGGTTCTGAGGATGTGAATGTAATATTGGATAGAGCCAGGAGGATGTGAATGTAATATTGACAGAGCCTGGTAATGTGAATGTAATATTGGATGGAGCCCTGGTGATTTGAATGTGGTGGATAGAGCCATGGTGATGTGAATGTAATATTGGATAGAGCCTGGTGATGTGAATGTTATTGGATGGGCCATGACTGATGTGGATGTTATATTGGATGGGGCCCTGAGTGATGAACGTAATGGATGGGGCCCTGAGTGATGTGAATGTAATATTGGATAGAGCCTGGTGATGTGAATGTATTGGTGGATGGATCCTGGTGATGTGAATGTTATATTGGATAGTGCCCTGAGGTGATTTGAATGTAATATTGGATGGAGCCCTGACTGATTTGAATGTAATATTGGATAGAGCCCTGAGGTGATGTGAATGTATTATTGGATGGATCCTGAGTGATTTGAATGTTATATTGGATGGTACCCTGAGTGATGTGAATGTAATATTGGATAGAGCTAGGTGATGTAATGTTATATTGGATGGAGCCCTGAGTGATGTGGAATGTAATATTGGATAGAGCCCTGACTGATGTGGATGTAATATTGGATGGAGCCCTGAGTGATTTGAATGTAATGGATAGAGCCCTGACTGATTTGAATGTAATATTGGATAGAGCCCTGATGTGAATGTAATATTGGATAGAGCCCTGAGTGATGTGAATGTTATATTGGATGGAGCCATGAGTGATGTGAATGTAATATTGGATGTAATATTGATAGGTCAGGTGATGTGAATGTAATATTGGATAGAGCCTGAGTGATGTGAATGTAATATTGGATAGAGCCCTGAGTGATGTGAATGTAATATTGGATGGAGCCCTGGTGATTTGAATGTAATATTGGATGGAGCCCTGAGTGATTTAGATGTAATATTGGATAGAGCCCTGAGTGATGTGAATGTAATATTGGATAGAGCCATGAGTGATGTGAATGTAATGTTGGATAGAGCCCTGACTGATTTGAATGTAATATTGGATGAGAGCCTGAGGATTGAATGTAATATTGGATGGGGCCCTGGAGTTTTTGAATGTAATATTGGATGAGAGCCCTGACTGATTTGAATGTAATATTTTGATAGTGCCCTGAGTGATTTGTGGATGTAATATTGGATGGAGCCCTGAGTGATGTGAATGTAATATTGGATGGAGCCCTGGTGGAGTGAATGTAATATTGGATAGAGCCCTGACTGATGTGAATGTAATATTGGATGGAGCCCTGGCTGATGTGAATGTAATATTGGATAGAGCCCTGAGTGATGTGAATGTAATATGGATGGAGCCCTGAGGATTTGAATGTTATATTGATAGTGCCCTGAGTGATTTGAAATAATATTGGATGGTGCCCTGAGTGATGTGAATGTAATATTGGATGGTGCCCTGAGTGATGTGAATGTAATATTGGATGGGATCCTGGTGATGTGAATGTAATATTGGATGGTGCCTGAGTGATGTGAATGTAATATTGGATGGGCCCTGGTGATTTGAATGTTATATTGGATGGAGCCCTGAGTGATTTGAATGTAATATTGGATAGAGCCCTGAGTGATTTGAATGTAATATTGGATAGAGCCTGGTGATGTGATGTAATATTGGATGGGGCCACCTATGTGGATAGGATGGGAGCCCTGAGTGATGTGAATGTTATATTGGATGGGGCCACTGAGTGATTTGAATGTAATATTGGATAGAGCCCTGGTGATGTGAATGTAATATTGGATGGGGCCCTGGCTGATTTGGAATGTAATATTGGATAGAGCCCTGGTGATGTGAATGTGATATTGGATGGGCCCTGGTGATGTGAATGTAATATTGGATGGGGCCCTGGTGATTTGAATGTAATGGATGGGGCCCTGGGATGTGAATGTAATATTGGATAGAGGCCTGAGGATGTGAATGTTATATTGGATAGAGCCCTGGTGATGTGAATGTTATTGGATAGAGCCTGGGTGATGTGAATGTAATATTGGATAGAGCCCTGAGGATGTGAATGTTATATTGGATAGAGCCCTGACTGATTTGAATGTAATATTGGATAGAGCCCACAGGTGATGTGAATGTTATATTGGATGGAGCCCTGAGGAGTGATTTGAATGTGTGTGGATAGAGCCTGACTGATTTGAATGTAATATTGATAGAGCCCTGAGTGATGTGAATGTAATATTGGATGGGCCCTGGTGATGTGAATGTATATGATGGGGCCCTGAGTGATGCCCTGTAATATTGGATGAATGATTGAATGTTGGATAGAGCCCTGGGTGATGTGAATGTAATATTGGATAGAGCCCTGAGTGATGTGAATGTTATATTGGATGGTGCCCTGAGTGACGGAATGTAATATTGGATGGAGCCCTGAGTGATGTGAATGTAATATTGGATAGTGCCCCTGACTGATTTGAATGTAATATTGGATGATCCCTGATTGATTTGAATGTTATATTGGATGGGAGCCCTCTGAAGTGAATGTAATATTGATGAAAGCCTAGAGGATGAATGTATATGGATAGAGCCCTGATTGATGTAATGTAATATTGATAGAGCCCTGAGTGATGTGAATGTAATATGGATAGTGCCCTGACTGATTTAGTGTAATATTGGAGAGAGCCCTGGTGATGAATGTAATATTGGATGGGAAGGCCATGGTGATGTGAATATAATATTGATAGATCCCTGAGTGATGTGGAATGTTATATTGATAGAGCCTGAGTGATTTGAATGTAATATTGGATAGTGCCCTGACTGATTTGAATGTAATATTGGATGGATCCCTGAGTGATGTGAATGTTATATTGACAGAGCCCTGAGTGATTTGAAATGTAATATTGGATAGAGCCCTGAGTGATTTGAATGTAATATTGGATGGAGCCCTGAGGTAGATGTAATACTGATAGAGCCCTGAGTGATGTGAATGTTATATTGATAGAGCCTGAGTGCGATGAATGTAATATTGGATGGGCCCTGGTGATTTGTATGTAATATTGGATGGTGCCTGAGCTGTTTGAATGTAATATTGGATAGATCCATGGTGATGTAGATGTAATATTGGATGGGGCCCTGACTGATTTGAATGTAATATTGGATGGTGCCTGGTGATGTGAATGTAATATTGGATGGAGCCCTGACTGATTTGATTTGTAATATTGGATGGGGCCCTGAGTGATTTGGATTGTAATATTGGATGAGGAGCCTGGTGATGTGAGATAATATTGGATGGGAGCCTGGTGATGTGAATGTAATATTGGATGGGGCCCTGGTGGTTGGATGTTATATTGGATGAGGCCCTAAGGTGATTTGGATGTAATATTGGATGGGGCCCTGGGTGATTTGAATGTAATATTGGATGGTGCCCTGGGTGGTGTGAATGTAATATTGGATGACCCTGGTGATGTGAATGTAATGTTGGATGAGCCCTGACTGATGTGAATGTAATATTGGATAGATCCCCTGGTGATGTGAATGTGTATGGATGGAGCCAGGTGATTTGAATGTAATATTGGATGGGAGCCACAGGTGATGTGAATGTAATATTGGATGGAGCCCTGGTGATGTGAATGTAATATTGGATAGAGCCCTGGTGATGTGAATGTAATATTGGATGGGGCCCTGGTGATGAATGTAATATTGGATGAGGCCCTGGTGATGTGAATGTTATGGATAGAGCCCTGGTGATGTGAATGTAATATTGGATGGGGCCCTGGTGATGTGAATGTGTGTGGATGGAGCCCTGGTGATGTGAATGTTATATTGGGATGGAGCCCTGGTGATGTGAATGTAATATTGGATGAGCCCTGAGTGATGTGAATGTAATATTGATAGAGCCCTGGTGATGTGAATGTAATATTGGATGAATGTAATGTATATTGGATGGAGCCCTGAGTGATGTGAATGTGTGTTGGATAGAGCCCTGTGAGTGATGTGAATGTTATATTGGATAGAGCCCTGACTGATTTGAATGTAATATTGGATGGAGCCCTGAGTGATTTGAATGTAATATTGGATAGAGCCACAGAGTGATGTGAATGTAATATTGGATGGTTCCCCCATTGATGAATGTGTATTGGATAGAGCCCTGAGTGATGTGAATGTAATATTGGATAGAGGCCCTGAGTGATGTGGATGTAATATTGGATGGAGCCCTGAGTGATGTGAATGTAATATTGGATGGAGCCCTGGTGGATGTGAATGTGACATGGATGGGGCCCTGAATGTAATATTGGATGGGAGCCCTGAGGATGTGAATGTTATATTGGATAGAGCCCTGAGGATGAATGTAATATTGGATAGAGCCCTGGTGATTTGAATGTAATATTGGATAGAGCCCTGGTGATGTGAATGTAATATTGGATGAGCCCTGACTGATTTGAATGTAATATTGGATAGAGCCCTGACTGATGTGAATGTAATATTATTGATAGAGCCATGGTGTATGTGAATGTAATATTGATAGAGCCCTGAGTGATGTGAATGTAATATTGATAGAGCCCTGGAGTGATGTGAATGTAATATTGGATAGAGGCCTGAGTGATGTGAATGTAATATTGGATAGAGCCCTGATGTGATGGATGGATCCTGAATGTGAATGTTGATAGAGCCCTGAGTGATGTGAATGTAATATTGGATAGAGCCCTGAGTGATGTGAATGTAATATTGATAGAGCTGGATGATCCTGATGAATGTAATATTGATAGAGCCCTGTGATGAATGTAATATTGATAGAGCCCTGAGTGATGTGAATGTAATATTGATAGAGCCTGGAGTGATGTGAATGTAATATTGATAGAAGCCCTGAGTGATGTGAATGTAATATTGGATAGAGCCATGAGTGATGTGAATGTAATATTGGATAGAGCCCTGAGTGATGTGAATGTAATATTGGATAGAGCCCTGAGTGATGTGAATGTAATATTGGATAGAGCCCTGAGTGATGTGAATGTAATATTGGATAGAGCCCTGACCGATTTGAATGTAATATGACATAGAGCCCTGAGGATGTGAATGTAATATTGGATAGAGCCCTGAGTGATGTGAATGTTATATTGATAGAGCCCTGAGTGATGTGAATGTAATATTGATGGAGCCCTGAGTGATTTGAATGTAATATTGGATAGAGCCCTGAGTGATGTGAATGTAATATTGGATAGAGCCCTGAGTGATGAATGTAATATTGGATAGAGCCCTGAGTGATTTGAATGGCCATTGATAGGAGCCCTGAGTGATGTGAATGTAATATTGGATAGAGCCATGAGTGATGTGAATGTAATATTGGATAGAGCCCTGAGTGATGTGAATGTAATATTGGATAGAGCCATGAGTGATGTGAATGTAATATTGGATAGAGCCCTGAGTGATGTGAATGTAATATTGGATAGAGCCATGAGTGATGTGAATGTAATATTGGATGAGCCCTGACTGATGAATGTAATATTGATAGAGCCATGAGTGATGTGAATGTAATATTGGATAGAGCCATGGTGTGATGTGAATGTAATATTGGATAGAGCCCTGAGTGATGTGAATGTAATATTGATGGAGCCCTGAGTGATGTGAATGTAATATTGGATGAGCCCTGAGTGATGTGAATGTGTATTGATGGAGCCATGAGTGATTTGAATGTAATATTGATAGAGCCCTGAGTGATGTGAATGTAATATTGGATGAGAGCCCTGAGTGATGTGAATGTAATATTGATAGAGCCCTGACTGATGTGAATGTAATATTGGATAGAGCCCTGACTGATGATGAATGTAATATTGGATGGAGCCCTGAGTGATTTGAATGTAATATTGATAGAGCCCTGAGCCTGACTGATGTGAATGTAATATTGATAGAGCCCTGAGTGATGTGAATGTAATATTGGATAGAGCCCTGAGTGATGTGAATGTAATATTGGATGAGAGCCTGATGATGTGAATGTAATATTGGATGGGAGCCTGAGTGATGTGAATGTAATATTGGATGGGGCCCTGAGTGATGTGAATGTGTATTGATAGAGCCCTGAGTGATGTGGAATGTAATATTGGATGGAGCCATGGTGATGTGAATGTAATATTGGATAGAGCCCTGAGTGATGTGAATGTAATATTGATAGAGCCTGAGTGATGGAATGTAATATTGGATAGAGCCCTGAGTGATGAATGTAATATTGGATAGAGCCCTGATGATGTGAATGTAATATTGATAGAGCCCTGAGGTGATGTGAATGTAATATTGGATAGAGCCCTGAGTGATGTGAATGTAATATTGGATAGGCCCAGCCCTGAGTGATGTGAATGTAATATTGATAGAGCCCTGAGTGATGTGAATGTAATATTGGATGGAGCCCTGACTGATGTGAATGTAATGGATAATATTGATGTAGAGCCTGGATGGGAGCCCTGATGATGTGAATGTAATATTGATGAGGCCTGAGTGATTTGAATGTAATATTGGATAGAGCCATGGGATGTGAATGTAATATTGGATGATAGAGCCCTGAGTGATGTGAATGTAATATTGGATAGAGCCATGAGTGATGTGAATGTAATATTGATAGAGCCATGAGTGATGAATGTAATATTGGATAGAGCCCTGGGTGATGTGAGGATGTGAATGTAATTGGATAGAGCCATGAGTGATGTGAATGTAATATTGGATAGAGCCCTGAGTGATGTGAATGTAATATTGATAGAGCCATGAGTGATGTGAATGTAATATTGGATAGGGAGCCTGAGTGATGTGAATGTAATATTGATAGAGCCCTGATGTGATGTGAATGTAATATTGAATGTAGGAGCCCTGAGTGATGTGAATGTAATATTGGATAGAGCCATGAGTGATGTGAATGTAATTGATAGAGCCCTGAGTGATGTGAATGTAATATTGGATGAGAGCCCTGAGGATTTGAATGCAATATTGGATAGAGCCCTGAGTGATGTGAATGTAATATTGGATAGAGCCCTGAGTGATTTGAATGTAATATTGATAGAGCCCTGAGTGATGTGAATGTAATATTGGATGGATTCCTGAGTGATGAATGTAATATTGGAGCCCTGAGTGATGTGAATGTAATATTGATGGAGCCCTGTGAGTGATGGGAATGGGATTGATAGAGCCCCTGAGTGATGTGAATGTAATATTGATAGAGCCCTGGAGGATGTGGAATGTAATATTGGATAGAGCCCTGAGTGATGTGAATGTAATATTGATAGAGCCCCTGAGTGATGTGAATACCAATATTGGATAGAGCCCTGACTGATGTGAATGTAATATTGGATAGAGCCCTGAGTGATGTTGAATGTAATATTGATAGAGCCCTGAGTGATGTGAATGTAATATTGATAGAGCCCTGACTGATTTGAATGTAATATTGGATAGAGCCCTGAGTGATGTGAATGTAATATTGATAGAGCCCTGAGTGATGTGAATGTAATATTGGATAGAGCCCTGAGTGATGTGAATGTAATTGGATAGAGCCCTGAGTGATGTGAATGTAATATTGATAGAGCCCTGAGGATGTGAATGTAATATTGATAGAGCCCTGAGTGATGTGAATGTAATATTGATAGAGCCCTGAGTGATGAATGTAATATTGGATAGAGCCCTGAGTGATGTGAATGTAATATTGATAGAGCCCTGAGGATGTGAATGTAATATTGATAGAGCCCTGAGTGATGTGAATGTAATATTGATAGAGCCCTGAGTGATGTGAATGTAATATTGATAGAGCCCTGAGGATGTGAATGTACATTGGATAGAGCCCATGAGTGATGTGAATGTAATGGATAATATTGATAGGATGCCATGAGTGATGTGAATGTAATATTGATAGAGCCCTGAGTGATGAATGTAATATTGATAGAGCCATGAGTGATGTGAATGTAATATTGATAGAGCCCTGAGTGATGTGAATGTAATATTGATAGAGCCTGAGTGATGTGAATGTAATATTGATAGAGCCCTGAGGATTTGAATGTAATATTGATAGAGCCCTGAGTGATGTGAATGTTATATTGATAGAGCCCTGAGGTGATGTGAATGTAATATTGATAGAGCCCTGACTGATTTGAATGTAATATTGATAGAGCCTGACTGATGTGAATGTAATATTGGATAGAGCCCTGGAGTGATGTGAATGTAATATTGATAGAGCCCTGAGTGATTTGAATGTAATATTGGATAGAGCCCTGAGTGATGAATGTAATATTGGATAGAGCCCTGAGTGATGTGAATGTAATATTGATAGAGCCCTGAGTGATGTGAATGTAATATTGATAGAGCCCTGAGGATTTGAATGTAATATTGGATAGAGCCCTGAGGATGTGAATGTAATATTGATAGAGCCTGAGTGATGTGAATGTAATATTGATAGAGCCTGAGTGATGTGAATGTAATATTGATAGAGCCCTGAGTGATGTGAATGTAATATTGATAGAGCCCTGAGTGATTTGAATGTAATATTGATAGAGCCATGGAGTGATGTGAATGTATTATTGATAGAGCCCTGAGTGATGTGAATGTAATATTGATAGAGCCATGAGTGATGTGAATGTAATATTGATAGAGCCCTGAGTGATGTGAATGTAATATTGATAGAGCCCTGACTGATGTGAATGTAATATGATAGAGCCCTGACTGATTGAATGTAATATTGGATAGAGCCCTGAGTGATGTGAATGTATATTGGATAGAGCCATGATGAGAGCCCTGAAGCCCTAGAGTGATGAATGTAATATTGATAGAGCCAAGGTGATGTGAATGTAATATTGATAGAGCCCTGACTGATGTGAATGTAATATTGATAGAGCCATGAGTGATGTGAATGTAATATTGGATAGAGCCCTGACTGATTTGAATGTAATATTGATAGAGCCCTGAGTGATGTGAATGTAATATTGATAGAGCCCTGAGGATGTGAATGTAATATTGGAGAGCCCTGGAGTGATGTGAATGTGTAATGTAATGGATAGAGCCCTGAGTGATGTGAATGTAATATTGGATAGAGCCCTGAGTGATGTGGATGTAATATTGGATAGAGCCCTGACTGATTTGAATGTAATATTGGATGTGAATGTGAATGTTATATTGATAGAGCCCTGAGTGATGTGGATGTAATGTGAATGTGATAGAGCCCTGAGTGATGTGAATGTAATATTGATAGAATGTGGAATGTAATATTGATAGAGCCATGAGTGATGAATGTTATATTGATAGAGCCCTGACTGATGGATGAATGTAATATTGGATAGAGCCCTGAGTGATGTGAATGTAATATTGATAGAGCCCTGAGTGATGTGAATGTAATATTGGATAGAGCCCTGAGTGATTTGAATGTAATATTGGATAGAGCCCTGAGTGATTTGAATGTAATATTGGATAGAGCCCTGAGGATGTGAATGTAATATTGGATAGAGCCATGACTGATTTGAATGTAATATTGGATGAGAGCCATGACTGATTTGAATGTAATATTGGATAGAGCCCTGAGTGATGTAAAGATGTAATATTGGATGAGCCCTGACTGATTTGAATGTAATATTGGATAGAGCCCTGAGTGATGTGAATGTATTATTGGATAGAGCCCTGAGGATGTGAATGTAATATTGGATAGAGCCTGGTGATGTGATGTAATGAATGTAATATTGATAGAGCCCTGAGTGATTTGAATGTAATATTGGATAGAGCCATGAGTGATGTGAATGTAATATTGATAGAGCCCTGAGTGATGTGAATGTAATATTGATAGAGCCCTGAGTGATGTGAATGTAATATTGGATAGAGCCATGAGTGATGTGAATGTAATATTGGATAGAGCCCTGAGTGATTTGAATGTAATATTGGATAGAGCCCTGAGTGATGTGAATGTAATATTGGATAGAGCCGTGAGTGATGTGAATGTAATATTGGATAGAGCCCTGAGTGATTTGAATGTAATATTGGATAGAGCCCTGAGGATGTGAATGTAATATTGGATGAATGTGATGTGAATGTAATATTGGATAGAGCCCTGGTGATGTGAATGTAATATTGGATGGAGCCCTGGTGATGTGAATGTAATGGATAGAGCCCTGGTGATGTAGATGATGTAATATTGGATGGGAGCCCTGGTGATGTGAATGTAATATTGGATGGAGAGCCCTGGTGATGTGAATGTAATATTGGATGGAGCCCTGAGTGATGTGAATGTAATATTGGATAGAGCCCTGAGTGATGTGAATGTAATATTGGATAGAGCCCTGAGTGATGTGAATGTAATATTGGATAGAGCCCTGACTGATTTGAATGTAATATTGGATGGAGCCCTGAGTGATTTGAATGTAATATTGGATGGGCCCTGAGTGATGTGAATGTAATATTGATAGAGCCCCTGAGTGATGTGAATGTAATATTGATAGAGCCCTGAGTGATGTGAATGTAATATTGATAGAGCCCTGAGTGATGTGAATGTAATATTGGATGAGCCCTGAGTGATTTGAATGTAATATTGGATAGAGCCCTGAGTGATGTGAATGTAATATTGATAGAGCCCTGAGTGATTTGAATGTAATATTGATAGAGCCCTGACTGATGTGAATGTAATATTGGATAGAGCCTGAGTGAGTGATTTGGATGTGTAATATTGGATAGAGCCCTGAGTGATGTGAATGTAATATTGGATGGGAGCCCTGAGTGATGTGAATGTAATATTGATAGAGCCCTGAGTGATGTGAATGTAATATTGGATAGAGCCCTGGTGATGTGAATGTATTGATAGAGCCCTGAGTGATTTGAATGTAATATTGATAGAGCCCTGAGTGATGTGAATGTAATATTGATAGAGCCCTGAGTGATGTGAATGTAATATTGGATAGAGCCCTGACTGATGTGAATGTAATGGATGAATGTATGTAATGTTGGATGAAGCCCTGAGTGATGTGAATGTAATATTGGATGTAAGCCTGGGGGAGCCCTGACTGATGAATGTAATATGGATGGAGCCCTGAGTGATGTGAATGTAATATTGGATAGAGCCCTGACTGATTTGAATGTAATATTGGATGGAGCCTGAGGATGTGAATGTAATATTGGATAGAGGCCTGAGTGATGTGAATGTAATGTTGGATAGAGCCCTGAGTGATGTGAATGTTATATTGGATAGAGCCCTGAGTGATTTGAATGTAATATTGGATAGAGCCCTGAGTGATGTGAATGTAATATTGGATAGAGCCCTGAGTGATGTGAATGTAATATTGGATAGAGCCCTGAGTGATTTGAATGTAATATTGGATAGAGCCCTGAGTGATGTGAATGTAATATTGGATAGAGCCCTGAGTGATGTGAATGTAATATTGGATAGAGCCCTGACTGATGTGAATGTAATATTGGATAGAGCCCTGAGTGATGTGAATGTAATATTGGATAGAGCCCTGAGTGATGTGAATGTAATATTGGATAGAGCCCTGTGATTTGAATGTAATATTGGATGAGAGCCTGAGTGATGAATGTAATATTGGATAGAGCCCTGAATGTGAATGTATTGGATAGAGCCCTGAGTGATTTGAATGTAATATTGGATAGAGCCCTGAGTGATGTGAATGTAATATTGTGAATGTAATGGATGAGCCCTGAGTGATGTGAATGTAATATTGATAGAGCCCTGACTGATTTGAATGTAATATTGGATAGAGCCCTGAGTGATGTGAATGTAATATTGGATAGAGCCCTGAGTGATGTGAATGTAATATTGGATAGAGCCCTGACTGATTTGAATGTAATATTGATAGAGCCCTGACTGATGTGAATGTAATATTGATAGAGCCCTGAGTGATGTGAATGTAATATTGGATAGAGCCCTGAGTGATGTAATTGAATGTGATATTGATGTAGAGCCCTGGTGATGTGAATGTAATATTGGATAGAGCCCTGACTGATTTGAATGTAATATTGGATAGAGCCCTGAGTGATGTGAATGTAATATTGGATAGAGCCCTGAGTGATTTGAATGTAATATTGGATAGAGCCCTGAGTGATGTGAATGTAATATTGGATAGAGCCCTGACTGATTTGAATGTAATATTGGATAGAGCCCTGATGTGATGTTGAATGTATAGATATTTTGATGTAGAGGATGAGAGCCCTGATTTGAATGTAATATTGGATAGAGCCTGAGTGATTTGAATGTAATATTGGATAGAGCCCTGAGTGATTTGAATGTAATATTGGATAGAGCCCTGACTGATTTGAATGTAATATTGGATAGAGCCTGGGTGATTTGAATGTAATATTGGATAGAGCCCTGAGAATGTATATTGGATGAATGTGTGAATGTAATATTGGATAGAGCCCTGAGTGATGTGAATGTAATATTGGATAGAGCCCTGAGTGATGTGAATGTAATATTGGATAGAGCCCTGACTGATTTGAATGTAATATTGGATAGAGCCCTGACTGATTTGAATGTAATATTGGATAGAGCCCTGACTGATGTGAATGTAATATTGGATAGAGCCCTGACTGATTTGAATGTAATATTGGATAGAGCCCTGACTGATTTGAATGTAATATTGGATAGAGCCCTGAGTGATGTGAATGTAATATTGGATAGAGCCCTGAGTGATGTGAATGTAATATTGGATAGAGCCCTGAGTGATTTGAATGTAATATTGGATAGAGCCCTGAGTGATGTGAATGTAAATTGGATGGATAGAGCCCTGAATGTGATTTGAATGTTTGAATATTGGATGGAGCCCTGACTGATTTGAATGTAATATTGGATAGAGCCCTGAGTGATGTGAATGTAATATTGGATAGAGCCCTGAGGTGATGTGAATGTAATATTGGATGGGAGCCCTGACTGAATGTAATATTGGATAGAGCCCTGACTGATTTGAATGTAATATTGGATAGAGCCCTGACTGATTTGAATGTAATATTGGATAGAGCCCTGACTGATTTGAATGTAATATTGATAGAGCCCTGAGTGATTTGAATGTTTGATATTGGATAGAGCCTGAGTGATGTGAATGTAATATTGGATAGAGCCCTGAGTGATGTGAATGTAATATTGGATAGAGCCCTGAGTGATGTGAATGTAATATTGGATAGAGCCCTGAGTGATGTGAATGTAATATTGGATAGAGCCCTGAGTGATTTGAATGTAATATTGGATAGAGCCCTGAGTGATTTGAATGTAATATTGGATAGAGCCCTGAGGATGTGAATGTTATATTGGATAGAGCCCTGAGTGATGTGAATGTAATATTGGATGGAGCCCTGAGTGATGTGAATGTAATATTGGATAGAGCCCTGAGTGATGTGAATGTTATATTGGATAGAGCCCTGAGTGATGTGAATGTAATATTGGATAGAGCCCTGAGTGATTTGAATGTAATATTGGATAGTGCCCTGACTGATTTGAATGTAATATTGGATAGATCCCTGAGTGATGTGAATGTTATATTGGATAGAGCCCTGAGTGATTTGAATGTAATATTGGATAGAGCCTGAGTGATGTGAATGTTATATTGGATGCCCTGACTGATTTGAATGTAATATTGGATAGTGCCCTGAGTGATTTGAATGTAATATTGGATGAAAGCCCTGAGTGATGTGAATGTAATATTGGATAGAGCCCTGAGTGATGTGAATGTATATTGGATAGAGCCCTGAGTGAGAATGTAATACGATAGGCCTGACTGATTTGAATGTAATATTGGATGGAGGCCCTGGTTGAATGTATAGGATGCCGCCCTGAGTGATGTGAATGTAATATTGGATAGAGCCCTGAGTGATGTGAATGTAATTGGATAGAGCCCTGATGATGTGAATGTTATGGATGGAGCCCTGAGTGATGTGAATGTAATATTGATAGAGCCCTGAATGATGTGAATGTTATATTGGATAGAGCCCTGAGTGATGTGAATGTTATATTGGATAGAGCCCTGAGTGATGTGAATGTAATATTGGATAGGGCCCTGGTGATTTGAATGTAATATTGGATAGAGCCCTGACTGATTTGAATGTAATATTGGATGGAGCCCTGGTGATGTGAATGTAATATTGGATAGAGCCCTGAGTGATGTGAATGTTATATTGGATAGAGCCCTGAGTGATTTGAATGTTATATTGGATGGAGCCCCTGAGTGATGTGAATGTAATATTGGATAGAGCCCTGAGTGATTTGAATGTAATATGGATGGAGCCCTGAGTGATGTGAATGTAATATTGGATGGGGCCCTGAGTGATTTGAATGTTATATTGGATGGAGCCCTGGTGATTTGAATGTAATATTGGATGGAGCCCTGAGTGATTTGAATGTAATATTGGATGGGGCCCTGAGTGATTTGAATGTTATATTGGATAGAGCCCTGAGTGATTTGAATGTAATATTGGATAGAGCCCTGACTGATTTGAATGTAATATTGGATAGAGCCCTGAGTGATGTGAATGTAATATTGGATAGAGCCCTGACTGATTTGAATGTAATATTGGATAGAGCCCTGAGTGATGTGAATGTTATATTGGATAGAGCCCTGAGTGATGTGAATGTTATATTGGATAGAGCCCTGAGTGATGTGAATGTTATATTGGATAGAGCCCTGAGTGATGTGAATGTAATATTGGATAGAGCCCTGAGTGATGTGAATGTAATATTGGATAGAGCCCTGAGTGATGTGAATGTAATATTGGATAGAGCCCTGAGTGATGTGAATGTAATATTGGATAGAGCCCTGAGTGATGTGAATGTTATATTGGATAGATGAGTGATGTGAATGTGATTGGATAGAGCCCTGAGTGATGTGAATGTAATATTGGATAGAGCCCTGAGTGATGTGAATGTAATATTGGATAGAGCCCTGAGTGATTTGAATGTAATATTGGATGAGAGCCCTGGTGATGTGAATGTAATATTGGATAGAGCCCTGGTGATGTGAATGTAATATTGGATAGAGCCTGACTGATTTGAATGTAATATTGGATAGAGCCTGAGTGATGTGAATGTAATATTGGATAGTGCCCTGAGTGATTTGAATGTTATTGGATAGAGCCCTGAGTGATGTGAATGTAATATTGGATAGAGCCCTGAGTGATGTGAATGTAATATTGATAGAGCCCTGAGTGATGTGAATGTAATATTGGATGATTTGAATGCCCTGAGTGATGTGAATGTAATGTTGGATGGAGCCCTTGAATGTGAATGTATTGGATAGAGCCCTGAGGATGTGAATGTAATATTGGATAGTGCCCTGAGTGATGTGAATGTAATATTGATAGAGCCCTGAGTGATGTGAATGTTATATTGGATAGAGCCCTGAGTGATTTGAATGTTGGATAGGATAGAGCCCTGGTGATGTGAATGTAATATTGGATAGAGCCCTGAGTGATGTGAATGTAATATTGGATAGTGCCCTGGCTGATTTGAATGTAATATTGGATAGAGCCCTGAGTGATGTGAATGTAATATTGGATAGATCCCTGAGTGATGTGAATGTTATATTGGATAGAGCCCTGAGTGATTTGAATGTAATATTGGATAGAGCCCTGAGTGATTTGAATGTAGGATGGTGCCCTGGTGAATGTAATATTGGATAGTGCCCTGACTGATGTGAATGTAATATTGGATAGGAGCCCTGAGTGATGTGAATGTTATATTGGATAGTGCCCTGAGTGATTTGAATGTAATATTGGATAGAGCCCTGAGTGATGTGAATGTAATATTGGATGGGAGCCCTGAGTGATGTGAATGTAATATTGGATAGAGCCCTGAGTGATTTGAATGTAATATTGGATAGAGCCCTGAGTGATGTGAATGTTATATTGGATAGTGCCCTGACTGATGATGTAATTGGATGTAATATTGGATGTAGATAGAGCCTGAGTGATGTGAATGTAATATTGGATAGAAGCCCTGAGTGATTTGAATGTAATATGGATGGAGCCCTGAGTGATGTGAATGTTATGTTATATTAGATAGTGCCCTGAGTGATTTGAATGTAATATTGGATAGTGCCCTGAGTGATTTGAATGTAATATTGGATAGAGCCCTGAGTGATGTGAATGTAATATTGGATAGTGCCCTGACTGATTTGAATGTAATATTGGATAGATCCCTGAGTGATGTGAATGTTATATTGGATAGTGCCCTGAGTGATTTGAATGTAATATTGGATAGAGCCCTGAGTGATGTGAATGTAATATTGGATAGAGCCCTGAGTGATGTGAATGTAATATTGGATAGAGCCCTGAGTGATGATGTGAATGTAATGTGGATAGAGCCCCTGAGTGATGTGAATGTTATATTGGATAGAGCCCTGAGTGATGTGAATGTTATATTGGATAGAGCCTGAGTGATTTGAATGTAATATTGGATAGAGCCCCTGAGTGATTTGAATGTAATATTGGATAGAGCCCTGACTGATTTGAATGTAATATTGGATAGAGCCCTGAGTGATGTGAATGTTATATTGGATAGAGCCCTGACCGATTTGAATGTAATATTGGATAGAGCCCTGAGTGATGTGAATGTTATATTGGATAGAGCCCTGAGTGATTTGAATGTTATATTGGATAGAGCCCTGAGTGATGTGAATGTAATATTGGATAGAGCCCTGAGTGATGTGAATGTAATATTGGATAGAGCCCTGAGTGATGTGAATGTTATATTGGATAGAGCCCTGAGTGATGTGAATGTAATATTGGATAGAGCCCTGAGTGATGTGAATGTAATATTGGATAGAGCCCTGAGTGATTTGAATGTAATATTGGATAGAGCCCTGACTGATTTGAATGTAATATTGGATAGAGCCCTGACTGATTTGAATGTAATATTGGATAGAGCCCTGAGTGATGTGAATGTAATATTGGATAGAGCCCTGAGTGATGTGAATGTAATATTGGATAGAGCCCTGAGTGATGTGAATGTAATATTGGATAGAGCCCTGAGTGATGTGAATGTAATATTGGATAGAGCCCTGAGTGATGTGAATGTAATATTGGATAGAGCCCTGAGTGATGTGAATGTAATATTGGATAGAGCCCTGAGTGATGTGAATGTAATATTGGATAGAGCCCTGACTGATTTGAATGTAATATTGGATAGTGCCCTGACTGATTTGAATGTAATATTGGATAGAGCCCTGAGTGATGTGAATGTAATATTGGATAGAGCCCTGAGTGATGTGAATGTAATATTGGATAGAGCCCTGAGTGATGTGAATGTATATTGGATAGAGCCCTGAGTGATGTGAATGTAATATTGGATAGAGCCCTGAGTGATGTGAATGTAATATTGGATAGAGCCCTGAGTGATGTGAATGTAATATTGATAGAGCCCTGAGTGATGTGAATGTAATATTGATAGAGCCCTGAGTGATGTGAATGTAATATTGGATAGAGCCCTGACTGATGTGAATGTAATATTGGATAGAGCCCTGAGTGATGTGAATGTAATATTGGATAGAGCCCTGACTGATGTGAATGTAATATTGGATAGAGCCTGACTGATTTGAATGTAATATTGGATAGAGCCCTGATTTGAATGTAATGATTGGATATGTGATGTGAATGTAATATTGATAGAGCCCTGACTGATTTGAATGTAATATTGGATAGAGCCCTGAGGATGTGAATGTAAATGGATGGTGCCTGGTGATGTGAATGATATAGAGCCCTGAGTGATGTGAATGTAATATTGGATAGAGCCCTGAGTGATGTGAATGTAATATTGGATAGAGCCCTGAGTGATGTGAATGTAATATTGGATAGAGCCCTGACTGATTTGAATGTAATATTGGATAGAGCCCTGAGTGATGTGAATGTAATATTGGATAGAGCCCTGACTGATGTGAATGTAATATTGGATAGAGCCCTGAGTGATGTGAATGTAATATTGGATAGAGCCCTGAGTGATGTGAATGTAATATTGGATAGAGCCCTGAGTGATGTGAATGTATTTGGATGGAGCCCTGAGTGATGTGAATGTAATATTGGATAGAGCCCTGAGTGATGTGAATGTAATATTGGATAGAGCCCTGATGTGATGTGAATGTAATATTGGATAGAGCCCTGACTGATTTGAATGTAATATTGGATAGAGCCCTGACCGATTTGAATGTAATATTGATAGAGCCCTGAGTGATGTGAATGTAATATTGGTATAGATTGAGCCCTGAGTGATGTGAATGTAATATTGATAGAGCCCTGAGTGATGTGAATGTAATATTGATAGAGCCCTGAGTGATGTGAATGTAATATTGATAGAGCCCTGAGGATGTGAATGTAATGGATTGAGCCCTGAGTGATGTGAATGTAATATTGGATAGTGCCCTGAGTGAGCCCTGACTGATGTGAATGTAATATTGGATGGGATGTGAATGTAATGGATGGGCCCTGAGTGATTTGAATGTAATGGATTGAGCCTGAGTGATGTGAATGTATAGGTTGAGCCCTGAGTGATGTGAATGTAATATTGATAGAATGTAGCCCTGAGTGATTTGAATGTAATATTGGATAGAGCCCTGAGTGATGTGAATGTAATATTGGATAGAGCCCTGAGGATTTGAATGTAATATTGGATAGAGCCCTGAGTGATGTGAATGTAATATTGGATAGAGCCCTGAGTGATTTGAATGTAATATTGATAGAGCCCTGAGTGATGTGAATGTAATATTGGATTGAGCCCTGATGATGTGAATGTAATATTGATAGTAGCCCTGAGTGATGTGAATGTAATATTGGATAGAGCCCTGAGTGATGTGAATGTAATATTGGATAGAGCCCTGAGTGATGTGAATGTAATATTGGATAGAGCCCTGAGTGATGTGAATGTAATATTGGATAGAGCCCTGACTGATTTGAATGTAATATTGATAGAGCCCTGACTGATTTGAATGTAATATTGATAGAGCCCTGAGTGATGTGAATGTAATATTGATAGAGCCCCTGAGTGATGTGAATGTAATATTGGATTGAGCCCTGAGTGATGTGAATGTAATATTGGATAGTGCCCTGAGTGATGTGAATGTTATATTGGATAGTGCCCTGAGTGATGTGAATGTAATATTGGATAGTGCCCTGAGTGATGTGAATGTAATATTGGATAGAGCCTGAGTGATGTGAATGTAATATTGGATAGAGCCCTGAGTGATTTGAATGTAATATTGGATAGAGCCCCTGAGTGATTTGAATGTAATATTGGATAGAGCCCTGGTGATGTGAATGTAATATTGGATAGAGCCCTGAGTGATGTGAATGTAATATTGGATTGGAGAGCCCTGAGTGATGTGAATGTAATATTGGATTGAGCCCTGAGTGATGTGAATGTAATATTGGATAGTGCCCTGAGTTATATTGGATGATGTGAATGTAATATTGGATAGAGCCCTGATGTGATGTGAATGTAATATTGGATAGGATCCCTGACTGATTTGAATGTAATATTGGATAGAGCCCTGACTGATTTGAATGTAATATTGGATGAGGCCCTGAGTGATGTGGATGTAAATGTAATATTGGATAGAGCCCTGAGTGATGTGAATGTAATATTGGATAGATCCCTGAGTGATGTGAATGTTATATTGGATAGTGCCCTGAGTGATTTGAATGTAATATTGGATAGAGCCCTGAGTGATGTGAATGTAATATTGGATAGAGCCCTGAGTGATGTGAATGTAATATTGGATAGAGCCCCTGAGTGATTTGAATGTAATATTGGATAGAGCCCTGACTGATTTGAATGTAATATGAGCCCTGATGATGTGAATGTAATATTGGATAGAGCCCTGAGTGATGTGAATGTAATATTGGATAGAGCCCTGAGTGATGTGAATGTAATATTGGATAGAGCCCTGAGTGATGTGAATGTAATATTGGATAGAGCCCTGAGTGATGTGAATGTTATATTGGATAGAGCCCTGAGTGATTTGAATGTAATATTGGATAGAGCCCTGAGTGATTTGAATGTAATATTGGATAGAGCCCTGAGTGATGTGAATGTAATATTGGATAGAGCCCTGAGTGATTTGAATGTAATATTGGATAGAGCCCTGAGTGATGTGAATGTAATATTGGATAGAGCCCTGAGTGATGTGAATGTAATATTGGATAGAGCCCTGAGTGATGTGAATGTAATATTGATAGAGCCCTGAGTGATGTGAATGTTATATTGATAGAGCCCTGAGTGATGTGAATGTAATATTGGATAGAGCCCTGGTGAGTGATGTGAATGTAATATTTGATAGTGCCCTGATGATGTGAATATATTGATAGAGCCCTGAGTGATTTGAATGTTATATTGGATAGAGCCCTGAGTGATTTGAATGTAATATTGGATAGAGCCCTGAGTGATGTGAATGTTATATTGGATAGAGCCCTGAGTGATGTGAATGTTATATTGGATAGAGCCCTGAGTGATGTGAATGTAATATTGGATAGAGCCCTGAGTGATGTGAATGTAATATTGGATAGAGCCCTGACTGATTTGAATGTTATATTGGATAGAGCCCTGAGTGATTTGAATGTAATATTGGATAGAGCCCTGAGTGATGTGAATGTTATATTGGATAGAGCCCTGAGTGATTTGAATGTAATATTGGATAGAAGCCCTGACTGATTTGAATGTAATATTGGATAGAGCCCTGAGTGATGTGAATGTTATATTGGATAGTGCCCCTGAGTGATTTGAATGTTATATTGGATAGTGCCCTGAGTGATGTGAATGTAATATTGGATAGAGCCCTGGTGATGTGAATGTGAATTGGATAGAGCCCTGGTGATGTGATGTAATATTGGATAGAGCCCTGAGTGATGTGAATGTAATATTGGATTGTGCCCTGAGATGTGAATGTAATATTGGATAGTGCCCTGAGTGATGTGAATGTTATATTGGATAGTGCCCTGAGTGATGTGAATGTAATATTGGATAGAGCCCTGAGTGATGTGAATGTAATATTGGATAGAGCCCTGAGTGATGTGAATGTAATATTGGATAGCCCCTGAGTGATGTGAATGTAATATTGGATAGAGCCCTGAGTGATGTGAATGTAATATTGGATAGAGCCCTGAGTGATGTGAATGTTATATTGGATAGAGCCCTGACTGATTTGAATGTAATATTGGATAGAGCCCTGAGTGATGTGAATGTAATATTGGATTGAGCCCTGAGTGATGTGAATGTAATATTGGATAGAGCCCTGACTGATTTGAATGTAATATTGGATAGAGCCCTGAGTGATGTGAATGTAATATTGGATTGAGCCCTGAGTGATGTGAATGTAATATTGGATAGTGCCCTGAGTGATGTGAATGTTATATTGGATAGTGCCCTGAGTGATGTGAATGTAATATTGGATAGAGCCCTGAGTGATTTGAATGTAATATTGGATAGAGCCATGAGTGATGTGAATGTAATATCTGGAATTGCAATAATCATTGAACAGATTTCAAAGAATAATCAAAAAACAAATTGAAACATAGTGCAGATAAGAATGAGAAAAAATATTATTTTATGAATGTTACAAGAAAGAGATTTGAGAAAAAATAAAATAGTAACATGCAAGAAAGTGGATTGACTAATAAGAAAATATTTGAGAAGCTGGTGTTGCCAATGTAAGTAGAGAGAGAGAGAGAATATTAAGAACATTGACTGAAGACAGAAGTGTTGTAGCATACCTATGGATGATAATAGGTATGCTCCCATTCACATAAATACAGTAGTAAATACTGTATGTTGGTCTGAAGTTAGAGATTTGTTTCCAGCTGTGCTGGTCAAACTATCTTCCTCTGAGCAGAGAGGATCCCCAGAGTCTCATCTCAGAAAACAGCTACCCATCCCTGTTTTATACGGGGTCTACAGGGAATTTGGGGCCGAGCTTACAGACTTGGATACCCCACATTAAATTTGGCCTTGTGCCACATCTGACTGTATGAGGCAGTTGGTAGATATCCTGCAGTTGGAGATTCACTGTGGAATTCACTTTACTCACTTATATCAGTTGACTACTTCTTCTATGCACTGCTGGTGAATCTTATATGTGTTGTTCTTGTCCTAATTATTATTGTTCATTATCAACCTTCATGTGATTATTCTATTTAGTAACCTACCTTAGGTTATAACAAAAAGCAATCAACTTTAAGTAAACATCACAAAAAGAAACATGTAAATTAAGCAAAACTGAGCATGAAAACTGATTTCTATAAAGTAATTTTTAATTATGAATGTAGAACTACATTAGATGGACATTTGAAAATGGAAATAGTCAAAAAGCATAGCTTAAAAAAACTACAGCAGGGAGGTGGAGTAATGTTTTGGTCTAGTATTATAGGCAGTAAAATTATAGATCTCTTCAAAGTTGATGATGTCAAGATCAATGTAGATAATTGGACAAGACATTTTTTTTTGGAGATACATGTTACAACTAGAAAAGTTTTAAGCTAAAATGAATATACAAACTATGCTTCACATTTTGCAAAGCTATTTTCCACCTTGTGAAAAAAAAAAAACATTTCAAAGACATAAAATTAAGTGAATGGCCTTCAGCCTCTTTAGATATCAATTCAATAGAAACTTCATGGTTCATCATTAAAAGAGATGTACATATATGAGAATGGAAAATAAGATTCAATCAAAGATCTTTGGAAAGAAATAACAAGTAATGTTGAAACTGAAACAATTATAAAACTAAAATCAATGAGTAAAAGAAAGAAGGTTATAGAATGTCAAGGAGCTCATATTAACATGTAAAATAATTTATTCCAGTATATAAGATATTGACTTAATCAAATATATGTTTGTCTGGCCTATATCTTTTGGATTTCCTTTATAAATAAAAATCTATGCTTCAATTTTTTTTTTGTATAATGAAACCTGACAGACTCAAAACAGACTATTATCAATATTTTTTAATAAGGATAGACATTCTAAATTGAAACTAATATATCTTGGAAATATATCATATCAGTTGATTAATAGCATTTCTATTGTAAAAACATTGACTTGTATAATCGAATCTGACATCTAATGTATATAGGAGGGTCTGTCCATAAGTAATGCATTCTATTTTAGTTGACATCAGAGATTGAGGTTGGGGGCAGGGTTGGGAGATTGAATCTCTCTGTCAATAAGTTACTTTTCTTTTTGCCTTGTTATGTATAGTAGTCTGGCAAAATGCTATCTGATATGAAAGTGTATAGGAGGTAGATATGACATTGAATTCTTCCATGTGGAAAAAATTACACCTCTTGACATTGATGCATGCTGAACATTTATGGAGAGTAAACAGTAGTTGGTCTGGATACAAAAACAAAAATCATACTTCTAGCAATTCATTTATTTTTTCTTAATCCTTAGGCATTTACACTGGAAAGGATATCCCAAACTATAAATGTGAGTAGGTGCATGAGAGAAAGTGATATATATATATATATATATATATATATATATATATATATATATATATATATATATATATATATATATACATAAAAGTTCATGTGCTCTTTAAAAAAATTTATAACTTTATTTGTATTTGCGATAGAAATAATTTGTAAAAAGGATTAGAAAGAAGTAAATCTATATTTTTTTAAGGTTTTATTGAAATTTTATTTAAGTTTCTACATGTCCTCCATCATTAGCAATACAAAGGGTAATACGATTTTGCAGTTCACGGAAAATATTTGCCAACTGATTTACAGTAATGCCTGCAATCACATTAGTTATTTTAGCGATACTTAAAACTAGGTACATTAACCTTCATAACATTTTTTACAGATTATTTCTATCGCAAATACAAATAAAGTTATAAATTTTTTAAATTGCACACGAACTTTATGGACACCCTGTATATATAATTAATAAACAATAAAATCCAAAATTACCTCATATGGGGTATAACCTATTTTGGCAGGTGAAGATATCAGTTGTCTGTCTTATTAACCCCTGTGTGGACTGAGTTTGTGTCTATACAGATAGGGAAGGATGAATTAGTGTTAAAACATTGACATAAAAACAAATCCAAATTTCCATATTTAACTTAATTAGCTACCATATTTCCATAATATTCACTCTCCTCTAACTCTTCAAATGTTGACATTATAACTAATTCTAATTTGTATATTTTATTCCCCTCCATAACCCCTTTACACTATATTATAGTTTATAAACTTTCCCCTATTTTAATATCTCCCCAACTCTTTATCTATTAATCCCTTATATCCTTTTATCTATATATTTTAAACTTATTTTTAGACCGCTTTTTACCCCTATTTTAAATTAATATTTCATTCTTCATATTACCCCAAATTAATGTCATAAGGCTAATAATATAATAAAACTTCTCTTTAAGACAAATAACTTCCACCCTCTGATGACCTGTTTCATGCCTTTCATCTAACTGAAATATTGAAATGTATAAATTCTGTAATAGTTTTTCAACAGGTTGTTGTTTTTTTTTAGCTTTCACATTTAAATTCTACTTCTGCCCCCCCCTTCCCTATCTGTATAGACACAAATTCAGACCACACCGGGGTTGATAAAACAGATGACTTATCTTTTTCTGCTAAAATAGACTATTCCTCAGATAAGGTAATTTTGGATTTTATTGTTTATTAATTATATTCCTCTGTATTAATAAATACATTGAGCTCTTTTTGTGAATGAGTTTTAATGTTTTATATTACTAGGATCCACTTGTGTTATGTACCAACAGATTTGTTACCTTATATATTTTATTTGAAAATTATAACATAAATATGTTATAAAATCTCTACAAAAATAGCCATTTTGTTTCAACACTTCTGGTATCTTATCAAGTGATGGTGTTGGATGTAGAATAAAGAGAAAAACTCTTTATTCTACATTCAACACCATCACTTGATAAGACACAGAAGTGTTGAAACAAAATATCAATTTTTGTAGTGATTTTATAACATATTTATGTTATAATTTTCAAATAAATTATATTTGCTCTACTCTGTATTGAGCACTATTTTAAGAATGGTATTTTTTGGTTATTAGAATTTATTTCATATACACCAATCTTATACTTGGGGATATATATATATATATGATTAATACAAATAAAATTTTGTCACTTCGCTGATTGGTGTTATATTCAGTACCTTGATTCTGGAATTTCAGAAGTTAAACATTTTGCAATCGTTCTGTCCACTCACCAGGTTTCAGTAACTGATGCAGATTTTTTCATTTTTGGTAATTTTATATTAAGTTAAAAAAAATTGGTGAGGTTGATTTTTTTTTCTCTCTCTTTGCATGTGTTATATAAACTTTGCCATTTACATTTTGATATTATTTTTTTTTATATATAATTAAATGTCCACTTATCTTGTTGTCTCTACTCTGAGTATTGTGGAGATTACATCCACTTGCCATGAGACTTGATAGTAAAATTTGGAATTTTACAATCAAGTCTCCTGGCAAGTGATTGTAATTTTCATGAAACTCTTGGTGGGGTGAGGGCAAGACAAATGTACATTTAACATGATTTATTACTATTAATGCACTATCTCTTGATATCAAGTACTATAATTATAAAGCTAGCTTGCTTTAAAAAAAATGCCCCCAAAAACATTATTTTCCAGAAATACCCTAGTTAACATTTTTTTTTTTATGAAACACTATCTTTCTATTTTTGTTATATTATTACTAACCAGATGTGCAGGGTGATGTAAAGGTTATCAGTATGAAAAACAAAATCACTGAACCACTTTGCCAAAACATTCTTTTTTTTCTCAGGCAATAGCAGTACTTCCATCTTCTCTGACAAGGGCAATTTGTATTAAATTCCTGTTTATGTACACACATATGCCTACACACATTCACTCACTCTCACATATATATATGTATGAAAGTGTGCACTTATATATGTGCATGTAATAATACTGTGTAATGTTTTATTTGTAAGTAACTTTTCATTGAGGAAATAGTAACCTATACAAACACTAGGAATAAGATATTTCTAGTTAGAGAATATTTTAAATTACGGGCATGAAGGTGAAAGCGATGCTTCCTCAATGGATAAAATGCCAATATTTTAAAGTGATTCTATTTCAAAATACAAATACATCCCTTCCACTCATATTTTGCTGTTAATGCAGGAAGGGTTATGACCTTCTGTTAGATTGAAGGTTCTCTGTGGCAGCTGATATTCAGATATCTCAATCTGGATACTTGTTAAATCAGACATCTGTTCTGGCAAGCCCTTTTACCTCTTCTTAAATGTTACATTTGTCACATGTTTGCCCTTCCTTCTCGGGAAGTACTAACTTTTTAGTCATGCGTGGTTTGAGACTTGCAGAAGAGAAGTGCCCTTTGTTTGACCCATTTTTCTTAATGAAAATTGAAAGAATACTTGTAGATTTGGACCAATGGTTGAG